TGGTGGTGGTGGTGATGGTGATGGTGGTGATGATGGGATGGTGGTGGTGGTGGTGGTGATGGGATGGTGGTGGTGGTGGTGATGGTGATGGTGGTAATGATGGTGAATGGTGGTGGTGGTGGTGGTGATGGTGGTGATGGTGATGGTGGTGATGATGGTAGTAGTGATGGTGGTGGCAGTGGTGATGGTGGCCATGGTACTGGCAATGGTGACAATGGTGGTAGTGATGGTAGTGATAGTGGTGATGGTGGTGAAGGTGGTGGTGGTGTGAAGGTGGTGGTGGTGGTGATAGTGGTGGTGGTGGTGAAGGTGGTGGTGGTGAAGGTGGTGGTGGTGGTGGTGATGGTGGTGGTGGTGAAGGTGGTGGTGGTGGTGATGGTGGTAAAGGTGGTGGTGGTGGTGATGATGGTGGTGAAGGTGGTGGTGGTGGTGATGGTGGTGGTGGTGGTGGTGGTTATCCTGAATATTAAGTTACAAAAGTGTCATATAACTTTAAATACTAAAAATCATATCTACTTATACTCTTTCTTGCATGATTTAATTTAACCTGAGTCTTACTTGTTTATAGTATTAAGCTCTATTTACTAATCTAGCCATACTCCTTCTCTAAGTGCTGTGAGACAGATAGGAGAGGTTGTAATGGACAAGTTTAGGTGCCTTCCTGCCCACAGGTGGAGTAGGGTAGACATGATCTTTGAAGACCCCTTCTAGTTGAGCAATTAGTAAGAAGAACAGCTCACCATTATGGAACATTTCTTCTGTGGTCTGTTTAGTGACTGCTTTAGTCCCTTTATCTCATTTAATTCTCCCAACAACCTTATGGAGGTAGCTATCACTACCCCCATTTTACAGAGAAGGAAACTGAGACCCAAATGGGCTAAGTAACATTTGTCAGGTCACATGACCAGTTAGTGATAGAACCTGAATCCAGACTCCTGTCTGTCTGACTCCAGAACACATACTCCTCTCCACTGTCATTGCCACCCACTTACTTTAGGAAGCACTTCCTTCTTATGAGGGGTACAAAGCATGAATGAAAAAGAAAAAAACATGAACTGCATTATCAAGAGAGGGTGAATAGACTGAGAAGAGCACTGGGAAAAGGGGCATGGGACTGTGAGTTTGAGGCCTGGTTTTGCCAGGATCTCAGGGTGTGATTTGAGGTAAGTAGCTTGACCCTGCCTGGGCGAATGTGGGCTGGATCATTGCCGGGGTCCCTTTGAGCCCTTAAATTCTGTGACTGTAGGATAGCAGGGCAGGAAATCCATCAGGACCAAGTTCAGAGAGATGGGGGGAGCAAATCAGTCCCTCTGGGTCAGCCTTCTCAGAGCTTACACACCTTCCTCCTGATTTTCTCCAGCATAGATTGTTTGTATACCAATACCAACTACCTTGAGGTGAACTTTCGTGTCGAAGTGCTAAAGCCAGGAAAGACACTGGAGATTCCAATCACCTTTTATCCTCGAGAATGTATCAATTATCGAGAACTCATCACCTTTGAAATCAATGGGCTCTCACAACACGTAGTTGAAATCAAAGGGAGAGGCGCCGAAATGAAGGTAAGAGGAGATCCTCGGACCGGCACCCTCCATCCTGTCCTTCCCAGCCCCTTGGCCCACCTGAGCCCACGCCCTTCCTCCCCTCTCCATGTCTCCGGCCTCTAAGCTGCTCTGCCAGAGGTCAGCAGTCCTGCTGAGGGGTGAATTGTCAAATCAGACTCAAGCGAATCATAGATCTTCCTCAATACCAAACTTCACTGTATCGAAGGATACAAGCTGCAATCACAGGCACTGGAGAAATACTCTTTTACTTGGGGAAGTTTGAGAGTGTCAGATGCAGGATCCCAGGCATGTCTTTTCTCCCACATTAGGGCATGTTTTGTTTTCAGATGTAGTAGGCAAGATTTGTTTTAAGCAATGTATGCAGACATATGTCTCAGTTATGGACCATCTTCTCTTAACACCACAGTGATTGACATCCTCCAGCCAGCCACAGGTCCCAGGAGTAGATTTCACAGAGGGTACCCCTTCTTGCCAGGAGCTCCTCATAGAAAGGGAATGGTCCAGCCCTGCTGTTCACCCCTTTCTCCCCAGTGTCTGGTAAACATTTAAGGTGTCTGTCTGGTGGTAGTATCTGCATTTACTAGGAGGTTCTGGAAGACTGAAGATCTTCCGAGATTCTCAGGAATGCGTGGGACATTTTAGCAACCAAGAGAAAATGGGAGGAACCAAGAACAACAGGACAATGCCCAAGCCAGTGGCAGGGTCTCTTCTGATGTCACTGATTCATTCCTTTGTTTATGCTTTCATTTACTCACTCAGCACCCATTATGCATCAGGTACTTTGGGAAAATCCAAAGGCAACTTAAATGTGTTCTCTGACTTTCAAGAGCTCACAGCCTGGTGCTGAAGATTGGCTTTTTTAGGCAAAATGGAAACGTGGGCTAGATATAAAGATAGTTGGAGGGAGAGAGTACAGTTTAGTGACTGGTCAAATGGCAGTGGCCAGTGGGTGCTGTTCACTGTGGGTCAGTGTCCTGGAGGGCAAGGCCCAGCCTAACCTTCGTCTGACCCAGGCCAACACTGTGTTCAGTGCTTTAGATGAGGACTTTGAAATGTATGTACCTTTCCACCTCTACCGCCACCATTCCAGTTCATCATCATCTCTCACACCTCAAGGCCTTCATGCCCTCCTCCAGTCCATCTCCACAAAGCAGTGAGCCGAGCTCTCTCACAAAATACACATTTGACTGGGCCACACCATGCTTCACCGGCTTCTTTCCAGGATAAAACCTGGCCACCCCTCAAACTTAATCTTCTCAAGTCCTCCCCTCTCTCCCAGACACAGGCTCCGACTGAGCCACTCCCTCCAGCTCAGGGCCTTGCCCCTCCCCTGGAGGTGCTTTCCAACCCCACCCCACCCTGACTCAAGCTGCCTAGATCCTACCCTTCCCTTAGCTCTCAGCGCAAACATGCCTTGGGAGCGGGGAAAGGGGAGTGTCCCCAGACCCGAGTCTATCTCAGCCCCTGTTATAGGCTGTCCAGGTTCACTGAGCTTTTCCTTCACATCTCTTAACCATGTTGTAATTATGTCATTGTTGTTTGGTGGGCATTTTATGCACGTAAATGTCTGTTGAGCTAGTGAATGCTCATGTAATGTGAAGAGTGCAGGACACTGAACGAGAGGGACCACCCTTGGCTCACCAGGGTAGATGTGGGATATTCATTTTTCTCATTAACTGGCAAACCCTCCCTCCCTGCTTTCTTGTCCCACAGATTTTAGTCCTAGATCCAGCCAATAGGATTGTGAAGTTAGGAGCTCTCCTGCCTGGGCAGGTTGTGAAAAAAACGGTTTCCATCATGAACAACAGCCAAGCCCAGCTCACATTCAGCCAGTCAGTCCTGTTCTCGATTCCAGAACTCCGGGAACCTAAGGTTGGTGCTCAGGGCTCCCAGTGGCCTCTTCACGTTTCCCAGTGGCATGAACGACTATGCTAACAACACTAAAAGCTCACGGTTCTCCTGCACCTTCAATGTGCCAGAACATTCTAACAGCTTTCCATGCATGTACCCCTATTCTGATCATCTTCACAGAAACAGTCCAGGGTTAGTGCTTTTATTATACTCATTTCACGCACAAGGAAACCAAGGCTTAGAGAAGCTACATACCTCTGAAGGGCAACAGAGTAGAACAGAAAGAGAAGTGGACTTGATGGGAGTCCGTGGATTGTGACGAATAGACACAGACCTGCATTGCAGAAAATTTGAAAAATATAGAAAATCATAAAGGAAAACATTTTGCCCATAATCTCATACCCAGAAATAATCACTTAACATTTTGGTGCCTATATTCCAGTGCTTTCCCTGCACATTTTTTTTACAAAAATAAAATCGCAACTTTCACATTTTGTAACCGTCTAGTAACATACCATAAACATTTTCCAGGTCTCCAATGCCACCTGTTCATTTCTGCCTCCATTATTGTCTATTTCTGCTCATTTCAGGTGTTCCTAATGTTTTATGTTATAAAACATAACATAACATGTATGCTTTGGTTTCAGTGTAACATCCTTGGAATCAAAGCTTTGTGTTCATCTGGTTTTCTGCTTAAGACAGGTTCCTAGAAGAGGGCTTGAGGGGTTGAAAAGAAGAGTTTGTTTCAGTACACATCACCATGGGCCCCTGACAGGGCGTCCCCCTTTGCCCTCCCATCAGCTGTGTGAAAGGCGCGTGCTTGTTCCTAAATCCATGTTCTAAGTTCCCTGGGTAGAGAAACCACCAGTCCCAGCGGCCTGCTCCCCATGTGACAGTCATCATCCAGACGGCCCCTTGAAAATGGACCAAGTGTGCTCCATTCCAAGGGTGAGCTTATCCATCCTCTCAGTCAAGGCATTCTTGCATTTACTCAGCAAATATGTGCTAGGTGCTAAAAATATAAAGACGTGTCTTAGTCAGCTTGGGCTGCCATAACGGAGCACCGCAGACTGGGCGGCTTAAACAGCAGGCATTTCTTTTCTCTCCGTTCTGGAAGCTGGGAGTCTGAGACCAGCCTGGCGCGGAGATGGCCACCTTCTGGCTGCGTGTGTATACAGCAGGAAGCAAGCAAGATCCAGCTCTCTGGTGTCTCTAATCCCATCAGAAGGTCCCTCTCTCATGACTGCCTCTAAACCTACTTACTTCCCACAGGGTCCGGGGAGGGGGGGCTGCTCAGAGGAGGGCTGGGGGCCAGGGAAGGCCTAGTGGAGAGAGGTCTGTGCTGAGTTTTACAGGATGAAGTGGCACCTCCCAGGCACACAGATCCGGGAGGGTGTTTCTGGCAGGCAAAGGTATACAGGCCGGAAAGAATCAGGGCTTTTGGAAACCCAGATGCGATTCAGCGTGACAGGGGCACTTTGGGGATGCAGGATACAGAAAAACGCTGCGAGAGGCCGGCCAAAGCAAGAGACCAGCGTGTATCGCAACCCAGGGCCCCGTGTTGCCCACTTTGCCATCAAGAGAAAGAGGGCAAACTTGTTGCTTTGCATTCCTAATTAATCCCAATGAGAGTCCTCGGTTCCGGTGGGTCAGGGTTTGCCATACCAACCTGCTTCTTTGGTTGGCCAGTGACCTGTGCTGACACCTGGGGTTGGCTTCTAACATCGTGTTTTGAGAAATCTCTAGGATCAACTTTGCTAGCGCAGCTTCTCGGCCCATCATCTCACCCCCCGCTGCCTCGGCCCACTTGCTGGTGACTGCTCAGCACTCTGTGCTGAAGGGGGCTCAAAGTTGGAAAGGGGTTTGGCTTCCTCAAAACTGATTTTGACTTGCGGTTACCAGGACAAAGGGGGAAGGGAGGACCATTCAGATTCACGCGGTGGTTCTCCAACTTTAGAACACAGGAGTCGCCCAACGTACTTTTGAAAATGTAGGCTTCAGGCCCTCCAAGCACACTGATCCAGTGGGCCTGGGGCAGGACCCAGGAACCTGCATTGTAACCAGCACACCCAGAAGAGTGACACAGGGAGCCCGGGGAGCACTCCTCAGAAAACCCCAGAGCACTGAGTGCTGGTATGTTCTCCACCAGAGGGCAAGGATTGTTTGCAAGGGGTTGGAAAGAGAATTAACACTTATTAAATGCCTAGTATGTGCCATACCTTTCTATAAATGATCTGAATGAGTCACAGGAAATTTTGTGTGTGTGTTGTTGTTTTTTTAATCCTCACCTGAGGATATTTTTTTCATTGCTTTTCAGAGAGAGTGGAAGAAAGAGAGAGAGAGAAAGAGAGAGAGAGAAACATCGATGCGAGAGAGACACGTCAAGTGGTTGCCTCCTGCAGGCACCCCAACCAGGGTAGGGATGGAGCCTGCAACCAAGGTATGTGCCCTTGGCAGGAATTGAACCTGGAACCCTTCAGTCTGAGGGCCGATGGTCTAACCACTGAGCAAAACCAGCTGGGGCAAGTCATAGGAAGTTTAAGTAACTTGTCAAAGATGACACAGCTTGGTAAGAGAGAGCAGGAGTGAGATTTGCCCTCTGGGCTGTTACAGCCCCAACAGCACGACCTCCAGGAGTGGAGACCTCAGAACCCGCTGCCCTCAGCTGCTGAGTCTCGTTGTCATCTTGCCCAGGTCATCACCCTGATCCCATTCCACAACATCACTCTGAGGCCCAAAGAAGTCCGTAAGCTGGAAGTCATCTTTGCCCCGAAGAAGCGTGTCCCTCCCTTCTCCGAGGAAGTGTTCATGGAGAGCATGGGGCTCCTGCACCCCCTCTTCCTCCTCAGCGGCAGCTGCCAGGCCCTGGAGGTCTCCCTGGACCAGCAGCACATTCCCTTTGGACCTGTCGTATATCAGACGAAAGCCACACGTCGCGTCCTCATGGTGAACACGGGCGACGTGGGTGCGAGGTAGGAGCTGGAGCAGAGTGCTCTGACCCTGGACCAGATTAGACATTTGTTTTACAATTGTGGCCACTTTTTCTTTCTTTCCCCTCCCTTTTACATCTCCTTCCTTCCCTCAAAATGCAACAGCAGAGGCCTCTGCAGGGTGATCACTATTGGCATGACTACTAAAATGAATATGACAGAACCTTTGCTTAGTGCCTGTAACATGCCCTTTACATGGCTCATCTCGTTTAATCCCAACAATTCTATGAGACCGATTCTACAACCGATCAATTTTACAGATGCGAAAACTGAGGTATAAAGAGATTAAGTAACTTTTCCAAAATCCCACATTTAGCAAGAACTTACCAGGCACAGGTGCAATGCTGAGCATTCTTACAAAGATAATCCCATTTTATTATCCCAGAACCCTCTAAGGTAGGTGCTGTATTGTCCCCATTTCACAGATGAATTTGTGGCTCAAAGACATCAGGCAACTTGCCTGGGGTAACACAGCCAGGAAGTGAGAAAGATGGGATTGGAACCCAGGGGTACCTATGGTGGCTCTCCTTTCCGGGCTCTACTCACTTGCTAGCAGGTGCCCACCCCAGTTACTCCTTGGCCATGCCACCAAAGCTGCGCAGGCTGCACACCACCCTTGCAGGGGGCACCCTTCACAGACTCAGTGTGAACGGTGCCCTGAGGGTGCAGTGTGGCAGCCCTGGCACTGGAAGCACACTGGTCTGCACCGTCCACCTCCCTCTCCTGCCTGGACCAAATGCCAGACCACAGAGGGATGACCAGTCAGAGCCATCGGATCCCAGTGCCACCAAGAGCAGATGCAATTCACATGAAGGGATTGTCTCCACCCTCCTGGATCTGGTTTGAGAGGCAGCGCAGGAAGTGGTTCAGGCCACTGTCTGAGGAGGGTTCCCGTCCTAGCTATGCAACCTTGGGTACGCACGTGGAAGCATGTTCATGTGTATGTCCCCCAAAGTGTCACTGTGGGCAGTAACATAGATGCAGCCACTTCCCACCATGCTCAGCTCTGAGAGGGAGCAGAGTCAAGGTACCCAAGAATGACCATGGCCCTGTCCCCACCTGCCTCTGTTCAGCTTAGAGAGGGAGTCGAGCTCTTACCCGGGAGTGACCTGACCCTTGTCCCCACTGCCTCTGCTTCACCAAGCAGTCTTTCTCCTCCCGGTCCCATGGAGTCCTCAAGGGGGTGGACCTCCAGTCTGTTGTTCTCAGCAGCATGAGGATGCCACCAGGATACTAGTAAACTGTCTACCTCGTCTCTTTTGTCCTGGAAAAGGTTTAAATGGGATGTCAGAAGATTTGAGCCTCATTTCTCCATCAGCCCTGAAGAAGGCTACATCACCACAGGCATGGAGGTTTCTTTCGAAGTGACCTACCATCCCACCGAAGTGGGCAAGGAGAGTCTCTACAAAAACCTGCTCTGCTTCATTCAGGGAGGCAGTCCTCTGAGCCTAACCCTGTCTGGAATCTGCGTGGGACCACCTGCTATAAAAGAGGTCAGTAAGTGCTGCCCACAGAAGGGCCAGGGGCAGGAGAGGGCCGAGCAAGCCCCACAAGTGAACTCAGCCAGGCCTTCCAGAAATAGATGGCTCTGTTCAGACAGTCCTCAGTGCCCACATCAAGCATTCAGACCTGCTCCCTCCTCCACGGGGCCTTTGCACATGCTATTCCCACTGCTGAAATATTCGTTTTCCCCTCTTCATTTAGTTAATTCCTATTCATTCTTTAGCTCTCAACTCAAGCATCACATTCTCAAGGAAGCTTTCATTGACATCTCTGGCTAGATCAAGTTCTGTTATAAGCTGTGAGTGAAGGGTGAACAGCTTTACTATGTTTTTCTTAAAAATAGGCTTGGTTTAACCCTCTGCTAGCTCTCTTCCTAGAAATGTAACATTGCACTACCAGCTGTGTTCCTGGCAACATTGTTTATGGTAAAAATGGCACCTGATCCCATCTCTCTAATTTTATGTCAAGAATAGAATGTAAATGGAATATACAGTATGCTATAAACATGCATATGCAAATCTTGGCAAGAACATATGCTTTCATTTTCTTGGAAAAATACTTAGGAGTGGAATGGCTGAGTCATAGGGTAGATATATGTTTACCTTCTTAAAAACCTACCAAACTGTTTTCCAAAGTGGTTCTGTCCTTTTACATTCCCACTATTAATGTCTGACATTTCTATTTGCATCACATGCTTACCAACACTTGGTATGCTCTTTTTTTTTTAATTTTAGCCGTTCTAATAGGTATGTAGTAGTATTTTGTTGTGGTTTTAATTTGCAGGTCCCTAATGACTAATGATGTTGAGAATCTTCTCAGGTATTTATTTGCCATCCATATATATTCTTTGTTGAAGTATCTGTTCAAATCTTTTCTTTTTAATTGGGTTGTTTGTTTTCTTATTATTGAGTTTTCAGAGCTCTTTATATATTCAGGACACAAGTTTTACATTTAGACCTTCAATCTCTTTAAAGTTCATTTTTGTATATAGTGCAAGGTATGGATCAAAATTCATTTTCTGTACATGGATATCTAATTATTCCAGCACCATTTGTTGAAAAAATTATCCTTTCTCCACTGAACTGCCTTTGCACTTTGGTGAAAAACCAATCAGTCATATATGTGTGGGTCTATTACTGAACTCTATTCTAGTCCATTGATCTATTTAACTCTCTTTACACCAGTACCACCTTGGTCCATGTTGCTACATTCAATGGCCAGTTCCCACCCCTCGTCTGACACCTTGAACAAGTATCTCCTCCTACAAACAGCTCCTTCATATGGCTTCCAGGATACCGCCCTCTCCTGGTTCCCCTCCTATCTGATTAGCTGCTCCTTCTCATCTCTTCTGATTCTTCTTAACATTGCAGTGTGCCAGTCAGGAATTAGTCCTTAAAATCCTTCTTTTTTCTAAGTACACTTATTTCCTAATAATCTCACCCAGTATTTTAGCCTTAAAAAAACATTGCTAAACTGACAACTCCCAAATTTGTATCTCCAATCTGAACCTTGCTTTGAACTCCAGCCTTGTAAATTCCTCCACCTGTGTAAGGTGCCCGTTTTCTTCCAGGTGGTAAATTTCACCTGTCAGGTGCGCTCCAAGCACACACAGACCATCCTGCTCTCAAATCGCACCAACCAGACCTGGAATCTGCACCCCATCTTTGAGGGCGAGCACTGGGAGGGGCCTGCGTTCATCACCTTGGAGCCCCATCAGCAAAACAAGCCCTATGAGATTACCTACAAGCCCCGCACCATGAACTTGGAGAACCGCAGGCATCAGGTAGGCTGAGCACCCCATCAGTTTCCTGACATGATTGGAGGGAGAAGTTGTGTGTGAGAGAGGTTAGGAGACAGAGTGTGGAAGCTCAGAGAATGTTAGAACAAGAGGGGACCCTGTCTTCTAGTATCTTCACTCCCAATCCTATTCAAATACAGCCTTAGCTACTATCATAACATACCCAATTTTTCATTCTGTTTATTTCCACTTTACATTACACCATAAGCATTTTTCTATTTAATTAGGTAGTCTTCATGATAATCATTTTTAATGATTGCCTGATATTTCATTGCATGAAGGTTCCATAATTTAACATTCCCCAGTTGTTGAATGTTTAAGTTATCTCCAAATTTTCATATACCTATAAATGGTTCTATATATATGCTTATGTATGTATGTATGTAATTTTTTCACCTGGAGGGATTTTTCTAGAGTAAGATCCTTTGTCTGTGATTCCTGGTCCAAACACATGTGAATATTTTTATGACTCTTGAAACAGCTGCTTTCCAAACGTGTTATGCTCATTTGTAGAGCCTCCACTAATCCAGTGTGACTACCATTCTGACTACATTTCTTCCTCTCCTTAGGGCACCCTGTTCTTCCCCCTGCCAGATGGGACTGGCTGGCTGTATGCGCTGCATGGGGTTTCCGAGCCCCCCAAAGCCATTGCCAGTATCTACCGCGAAGTTCCATGTAAGACACCCTACACTGAGCTCCTGCCAATCACCAACTGGCTGAACAAGCCCCAGAGGTGAGGGAGTGTGGGGGAAGAGGTTGGGGTGGGAGAAAAAGAGGGAGGAATTCCACTGTCTAGCCTGGTCCTTCCCCTGGTCACAGGGCCTCTAGAGGACATTGGCTAAAAGGGTCAAAGACAAAGTTCCCTGCTGTGGCCAGGGGTTGTCTAAACTCTCATCCTCTAGAGAGATTTTCCTGTTCAGTACTATCTATGAACGGCTGATTACCTGTAAATCTTCTTGAACAGTGCCTGGCACAAAATAAGTGCTCAGTAGATGTTATTTATTATTATTATTACTACTGTTATCACTATCATCATAACAATAATCATGGTTGTTATTATTGAGTGCTCAGTCTTATTACCTAAGCCACTGGCCAGAGAAGGACATCCCTTGGATCTTATACTTGCAGTGGAAGTTGAGTAGAACGCAAAGACTAGAGGAGCTTGAGGCCAACCAGCCCAGTCCCCTTCTTTTACAGTGAAGGAGCCAAAAGTTGGGAGAAGAGGCCACCTGCTAAACATTGTGGGTAAAGGCCCAGACCTAAGTTTGAATCCCAGTTCTGCCAATAACTAGTCATGTTACCGGAGCATGTTACCGTCCCTCTCTTGGCCTCACTTCCTCACCAGTAAAATGGAGATGGTAATGATATGCACCTCCCGCAGACATTACAGGGCTTCAATGCCTGTAACACATGTCAAGCACTGACTAAGTAGCTGGCACATAATAGGTGGTCAGTAAATGGTATTTACTGTTATTGTTAGTGACAGTAAAGACGAGAACCCTGGACCCATGTGTTTTACATAAAATCAAGCGTAGAGATAGCACCTTTCCTTCTTTTCTTTGGGCAAATATCTCATTTTCTCTCTCCTCTCTTCTTGTGCTTCTATGCTCCCCCAGATTCCGGGTCATTGTGGAAATACTAAAACCAGAGAAGCCAGACATAAGTGTCACCTTAAAGGGCCTTGATTACATTGATGTACTGTCTGAATCCAAGAAAGACTACAAGCTGAACTTCTTTTCCCACAAGGAGGGGCTATACAGTGCAAAGGTATCCATATGTCAAAGGCACTGTCCTGGAACCCTGGAGGTCTGACCCTGAGGTTGACAAGCCTGGTGGTAGAGAGTGAAGGTGTCCTCCATAGCCAGCCTATCCTTATCCTGTTGGGCTGGCCGTTTAGAGTGACCTGGCAAAGGCATTCAGGATTCCCAGGCTCTTTAAGATGAAACCAGATTGCAAGGCCAGCCAGCCAGCCATCATGTAGGCCCACGCCAAGCTTTCAAGGCAGAGGAATTATGAACATCCTTATGCAGTAGGTAACACTGGACCAGCAAAAACCAGAGCACAGTAATAAAATATCTCATTTTCTGAGTGCTTATAGAACATCCAGCATTGTGCTGAGCACTTAACACATGTAGCTAGTGATATCAGAGCCAGGATTCAACTCAGAGCCATCTACTCCAAGACACCACAGAGTCTTTCACATATGAGCTGTTTTTCCTAATTCATTCATTATTTCAATAAATACCTATTGAGCATATATGCCATATACTAGGTGCTGGTAACACAGCAATCATCAAAAATAGGCACAGTCCCTGTTTTCATGGAACACACAGTCCAGTGAAGGAGATGGACATTAATCAAGTAATTGCATTCTGAATGCATTATTACAAAATGAGGTAAATGCTTTGAAGAAAAGGAGCATATATTGATCAGTAGCTCAGAAGAGAGGTCAGCGCTGAAGATAATATATGGGAATTATCCATTTATCAGTAGTATTTGAAGCTATGTGGAGAATGGGATTACCTAGGGAAAGATTTTTAAGTGAAAAAAAATAAAATCTTAGGAACACATCTCCTCCTCTAGAAGAGATGCTGGCAAAACCTACCCAGCAGCACATCATCTCCTCTCCTACAATCACTGAGGTAGGCTCCTCCACTCAGATCCATTCACAAACAGGCTAACAGAAAACCTTAAAATCAAGGAATCACAAAACATATGAAGGTGGGGAAAGCCACCATAAAATAGAAATACCAGTTCAATGAAGAACTCCTGAGATAAGAGTTATTAAAGCAAGCAGAAGAAGACTTTCAGTGAATATTATAAATATCCTCAAGGGAATAAAGGAAGATAATCATACCCATGAAATAAGAACGAGCAGTTGTGGAAGAGAATCATTTGGAGACCCTGGAAATGAAAAATAGGATATTTGGAACAGAAAGCCATAGAGGACAGCCGAATAGTATAATGGACTCTGAGGAAGAATTACCAGTAAGTTAGAAGATAGAGCTGAGTAATATCACCAGACTTTTAGCACATGAACACAAAGAAATGGCAAGATGAAAGGAAATAATAAGTATTGGTGAGGATGTACAGAAATTGGATCCATTGCCATGGGTGTGTAAATAGTGTCACCACTTTGGAAAACATTCTGACAGTTCTTCAAATGCTTAAACATAGAGTTACCATATGATTCAGCAATTTCACTCCTAGGTATATACCCAAGATGAACGAAAATATATATCCACACAAAAACCTGTATATAAATGTCCTAGCAGCCTTATGCATTAGAGCCAAAAATGGAAATAACCAAAATGTCCATCAACTGATGAGTGGATACAGTGGAAGATTATTTGGCAATAAAAAAATAGAAGTGAAGTATTGATACATGGAACACATGGATAACCTTGAAAATATGCATGCTAAGTGAACACAGCCAGGCACAAACAGCTGCATATTATATGATTTCATGTATATATAATGTTCATAATAGGCAAATCTGTAAAACAGAAAGTAGATTAGTGGTGCCTAGGTCTAGAGGGAATGGGTTGGGGGAAATGGGGAATGACTGTTAGTGGGCACAGGGTTTCTTTTCGGGGAGATGAAAATGTTCTAAATCAAATAATTGGACTATGAATGTATAATTTCAATGAGATAAGTGCTTTATGAATATGTTAAAAGCCACTAAATTATACACTTTAAATGGGTGAATTGTATGGAATGTGAATTGTATCTCAATAAAGCTGTTTTTTTAATGATAAGAAATATGAAGCATAAAATATAAGAAGTTCTAATATCCATCTAATGTAAGCTCTTGGAGTGGAAAAACAAGATAATAGAAGGATGAAAGTACCCCACAAAATAATTGGATAAAAATTCCAGGCTATTGGAGAAAGAGAGTCTTCTAATTGAAGGGATCACCACGTTACCAAACGGCTTGAATGAAAGAAAGACTCACATCTAAATACATGAGAACAAAATTTCAAAAAACCAGAATAAAAGAGAAAGTCCTAAATTATTCTAGAGAAAGTAAAAGGAAATAATAATCACAATTACAGCTGACTTCTCATGGCAACACTGAATACAAGAAGCAAGAGGAAGCTATTCAAACTACTTAGAATGATTTTCAATCTAGAATTCAAAACTATTATGAGAGCAAAATAAAGACATTTTTAAGCATGCAAGGACTCAAAGTAACCCACCCATATACACAATCCCTGAAAGTACTACAAAATTAAAACTTTTTAAATTAACAAAATTTTTAAAATAATTAAATGAATCCAAGAGAAAAGTACAAAGATACAATGAACAAAGAATCTAAACTAAATTGATAGGTAATTTCAAATAATTGTTGAAAAGCAATTTGAAATATTTCATATGACCTCAAGATAGGAAATAGCAAGGGGAAGAATAAGGCAATGAAAAAAAATGTCCTCATTCTATTGGAAGCAAATGGGGAAATAAGAGATATTTTCTCATTTATAGAGAAGGGTAGGGAGAGAATAGAGATATTCATAAACTGTAGATGTGGACAGAAAGATATAAATAAATATATGTATCAAATTGTAAGTGTAATGACTTTTGAGTAAAAATGACAATGAACCCAGATCACAGAATTTCTTTACAGTAACAAATATTAAAATTAATAACAATTTTTTTTTAAAAATCAATAATAACAATTTTTTTAAAAAATCAAAAGTACTTTTGGTTATAATGGAGTAACTAGTCCTCCTAACATAAAACAAAACATAAAACTGGACAAAATGTCTGAGGCAAGTCTCAGTCATTGGAAAACAGGCAGCACAATACTGCAATTCATCAGAGAGAAGGAAATTTATGAGTCCCATGATTGTCCTGGCTCTTTGCCTGGGGACAATTTCCTGACCGCAGTGCAGTGAGCTAGAGTCTAAGCAAAGGGCAGCAGCCCCACGAGGCAGAAATCAGAGTTTTGTGCAGCTGAAATAGCTGGTCTCTACGGGGTAAGGCACCAGAGAGGAGGGAGCATGATATGGAGGGAG